AGAGAGGAACGTGGGTCAGCTAACAGCACTGAGGACTTGGGGGAGAGAGGAATGTGGATCAGCTAACAGCACTGAGGACTTGGGGGAGAGAGGAAAGTGGATTAGCTAATGGGACCTATTGTCATCTCTCCTTTCCCACTCCTCCATCCCAGTGGAAACCTCATTGCCTCTCTCTTGCTCAGCTACAAAGCTTCCCAACTAGTTTTCTTGTTTCCACCCTTGTCCTACACAGTTTATCCTCCTATTGAGGGTATCTTTATAAAATCTAGATTAGAGCGAGATTGCACTTGGCATTAAACCTAAATTCCTCTACACAAAGCGGCCTTTACTGTCGTCTGGCCTCCTGCCATGGCTCTTCTCCATCCCGACCACCCTGGCCTCGTGCCTGCTTTTAACATTTGCCTTTGGCCTTGGCCTTTACATACCCTTTTTCTCTACTGGAGAGTGTTCTTCTCTCCTCCTCTTCAGACAGGCTCCTCTTCATCCTGCGTGTCTGAGATCCAACATCACCTCCTCAGAAAAGCCTTCCTTGGTCACCAACTTAAAGTTAATCTGTTATATTATTGTTTATCATATAAATGATGGATTCTGTAGATTATATAGATTTTACTAGATAAGTTATAAGCACATAGCATATATTTCTATTATATGTTTAAATCAGCTTGATTAGTGTTATTGCACCTATGACACCCAATAATCCTTTTATTTATTATTTACTGTAAGTCTTCCCCAACCGGACTGAAGGCCCTTCAACAGCAGAGACCTTGTCTATTTTGAGGGCCAGACAGGGCTCTGCCTTTCCCTGAGCCACAGTGTGTTCGGGCAGGACTAACCTGCCGTGGCTACTTTGGAGACCACTGAAAAGTATAAACAAGAGAATGGAATGGTTTGGGGAAATCATTTTTTTCTTTACTAACTCATAGCTGTGTACATTAATGCTTTTATGGGCATAGTAAGTATAACTTACTTATACCCTTACATAACAGACACCCTTCAGAACGGGAGAAGATATTTGCAGGTTATGTTTCTGACAAAGGTCTGATAACTAGAATCCACAGGGAACTCAAACTAATCAATAAGAACAGAACAAATAACCCCATTTCTTTGTGGGCAAGAGACTTGTGCAGAAATCATTTTGTTTTCTCCTTCCTCTGCTGCTACTGCCCTGGGTGTTAAAATACTATCCTCTGTGATTTTGCCTATTCCACGTTTCTTGTAAAGAAACTGGAGATCATTAGGTCTGGGGAAAGGGCAGGACACTACAAACCTGCAGAGAAACCATGGTTCACACAGATACTTCCGGAAAACCCGGAGTGTAGTATAGAGGTCGGTGTTGCTTGTAGCAGCCACCTCGGCGGCTCAGATCTGACTCTATCTATTTCTATCTCGCCTTTCACAGATTAAAGCTGGTCCAAAAGTTTTGGGGCCCTTCTGTGGAGAGAAAGCCCCAGAACCCATCAATACACAGACCCACAGTGTGCAGATCCTGTTCCGCAGCGACAGCTCGGGCGAGAACCGGGGCTGGCAGCTCTCCTACAGGGCAGCAGGTAAGCGCTCCCTCTCCAGTCACACTGAGCCACCGTGCTTGGCCTGCCCAGAGGCAGTGGCTGAAAATGGAGGGGAACTCCTCTGAGGACCTGGTGGGACTCCCAGCTGAGTACCTTGGGACTCTTTTCTGTCTCAGTTTTCCATCTATAAAATGGGGGCAAGGACAGCACTAATGTTGGGTGGACGAGACTAGCTTCCTCCCTAGGTCTGGGGCTGGAATGTGGATGTGGACTGCAGCTCAGAATATTTCATATTATGGTGCTTTGCCTTCATGTGGGTCTCATTCTCCAGTTTCCCGAGGCAGCCAGTCCTGTTCCAAACCCTCATAGAGCCAATTGACCCATAATAACCGATCTGAAATAACTCAAAGAAGAAGAGAGTGAACATCAGAGACAAGAGACCGCAGCTGGGCGTGACTGATCCAGTTCACAGAGCGAGACCATGGCCCGGCCTGGGAGATCACCTATAGTGCCCAGCAGGGGAGAAGAGTGGAGAGAATATTAACAAAAGAGAGTCTTTCCGGGAAACAGTGTCAGGGACAGGCCCAGACCTGAGGATCCTGTCAGATTGAGCCTGTGAACAGAGAACACAGAGGCATGTGATCACAGTCTCTCTAATGCTTTCCCGAAGGGTCTTGGGAAGAAACAGCACTGGGGTCATCGTGGGTGGCCCAAGAGGGCAAATCACATGAAGTAAAAGTCATTAGGGCACACATTTCAGCTGGAAAGGAAAGTATTGTTCAGTTAATTAGCAGAGTCTGCATGTGAAGGTACAGCTAAGGGCTGTACTGAGCTCCCCACCACTGGAGGGATGCAAATGTATGTTGGTGTCTATGAAGGGAGGATATGGAAAGAAGCATCAGCACACAATGGTTGGATTCAGTGACATTAATGTTCTTTTTGACCCTGAGTTTTAGTGAAATCATCTGGCAAAGCACTGATAGGATCAGGTGTACCTGCCCAAATAAACTTGCCCCACTCAGGTAGGGTCAGGTTCATGGCACGCCCAGGAAGGGTCAGACTCATGTCTCCCCCAGGAAATAGGAATGCCACTGATCCTGGCTGCCCTAATCCTTTAAATCCCTGTCTACCATAGCCTACATGTGGATTTCTTCCTAGTCAGGAATCTCACCCCACCTACACCCCAAGTGGAATAAAAGCTATTTTAATTGCATGAATTGGATCTCTATTGTCCTTCTGTCCCCTGTCACAGAACGATTTTATCCTTGGGTCCACAACCTTTCAAGCACCAAGTCAGAAAGTCACTTGCTCAGGGTCCCAGAGTAAGTTTCTTGCAAGGCCCAGAAGGTGCAGGCCTCCAGTACCCAGTCCCATGCTCTGTCCACTGCCATCAGGCTTTGCTTTCTAGGCACGGGGCCTTTTCCACCAGACTCTCGTTTTCTCACCACTGTTCTTTCATTCACTCTCCACCAGGAAACGAGTGTCCAGAGCTACAGCCTCCTGTCCATGGGAAAATCGAGCCTGTGCAAGCCAAGTATTCCTTCAAAGACCAAGTGCTTGTCAGCTGTGACACAGGCTACAAAGTGCTGAAGGTGCGGGACCCTGCCTGGGGAGGGGCAGCAACCAGGCCAGAGAAACCCTCCAAATCCCCAGGGGGACACATGTGCAGCCAGAGCTTGTCACGGTCCCAGCACAGTATTTCCTAACTGCCCCATAAACCTCCTAAATGCCCCAGACTGTCTCTCACCCTTCTGGAAGTGGCACAAAAGTTATTTATTTATTTATTTATTTTAATCAAAGCAGGGACTGGTTTTATTTTTTAAAAATATACAAATCCATTCAGCTGTATCATCAAGGCTGACAGTGATAACAAAGTCTGTCAGGCTTACAGGGTGGGCCAGGAGGTAGGAAGCCGAGGCTTTGGAGGTGGCAGACAGGCCCTCCTCATTGCCCCACCCTCTGAAATGGAATCACCTGGCTAGCATTAAAACAAAAATCACTTCCCGGGTCTTCCTTGAGATCCATTAAAACAGAGTTCCTGGGGCTGAGGCTGCTGACTGGGTTTCTTGGGTTCCCAAGGCGTCTAACGTGCAGCCGAGCTGGAGGAGCATGGCTCTCAAGGACTGGTCCTCAAAGGCGGTCTGTGAAATAGTGTCAGCATCACCTGGGAACCTGTTAGAAATGCAAACTTGGCCAGGCGGGTAGCACTCTGGGAGGCCAAGGCCACTGGATTCCTTGAGCTCAGGACTTCAAGATCAACTTGAGTTAAGAGCAAGACGCTGTCTCTATTGAAAATAGAAAAAACTAGACCAGCATCGTGGCAGATACCTGTAGAGCTCCAGCTACTTGGGAGGCTGAGCCAGGGGGATCCCTTAAGGCCAGGAGTTTGAGGTTGCTGTGAGCTGGGCTGACACCATGGCACTCTACCCAGGGTGACAGAGTGATGCTCTGTCTCAAAAAAAAAAAAAAGAAAGAAAGAAATGCAAACTCTTGGGTAGACCAGACGCACTGACTCAGAAACTCCGGGGAAAGGGCGCAACAGTCTGTGTTGTAACAAGGCTTCCAGGTGACGCAGACTGCTCGGCCCACTTTGAAAACCACTGCTCTGAAAAAGCAGTCAGGGCTACAGTTTCCCCTGCAGAGACAAGTGCCCTCTTTGCACACAGCCCTGGCCTCTCTCCAGAGGAGGAACAGGAAGTAGGAATTCAGCATCTACCTTCCCTTCCCTTTAAACTAACCCTGAGAGGGCCAGAGGTGGAAAATCTCAGACGAGGACAGAGAGTTTGGGAGTTTGAATTGGTTTTGCTAAGAAACGAACCCAGGCCCCACCTCACCTCCTTTTCCCCACTCCCTTCTTCCTGTTTCTCCCCAGGATAATGTGGAGATGGACACATTCCAGATCGAGTGTCTGAAGGATGGGACATGGAGTAACAGGATCCCCACCTGTAAAAGTAAGAAAACCTGACAGGGCACGGATAAGGCCAGGGGCTCCCCCACACGGGTGGGATCCGAGCAGAGACCACGCCTGGGTGTGAGCTTGGCAGGGACACTCTAAGGGGCAGGAGGTCAACAGACACTCTAGTGTTGAAAAAAAAGTGTATCAGCAGTAAGACTTGAGGATCACCAAAGAAACTTTATGTGGACTCCCGCTGACTTTCTAAATGCTAATTCTTCTCAGCCTGCAGACAGACCGCCAGCCTTGCTAGAGGAATAGCATGTCCCCAGGTTTGAAACTAGCCCCAGCAATTGCTAACTCAGGAAATTAGTCTGTGCTGGGGCCCAGAGCTGCGTGAGCTTGCTGGTTGGTACGTGGCCATAGCAGTGTCCACTAGATCTTTTAGGGCAGCTCATAATTTGGGACTGTGCAGAAAGTGCTGTGGGGTCTGCACAGGGGACCTGTGTGAAGCGGGGGTACAGGCCTTTCTGGACTCTTGGGACCCAGAGTCTCTGCCCCTAATCCACTCTCTGACCATGGGCCCCTAACTTGCTTTTGAGGACAAGATCCTTCTCCTCAATGGTAAAATTAAGTGTTTGGACTAGCTTTAACAGTCTAGAATGTATACCAATGGTTTTAAAATATAGTCCATATGAATCATCTATTGAGCTTTGTAAAATACAAGTTTCCAACCCCTACCCCCACTGTTCACCTAGGTGACGTAATGCAAGACTTACAAGGCCACAATTTTAGACACTTATCAATAGCAACAGTGATGAGAAGAGGCACAGTGACAGAAAGAGTCAGAGAAGAAAGGCAGGAAAAGGGACAGAGGATTTGCTTTAGAATAGAGAGGTACGTGTGGCGCTAAGACTTGGGGCTGGTTCCACCCACCTTCACTTCATGGTCCTTCGTGCATGGAGGGCTTGGTGGCCTTCCTCCCTTTCTCCTCCCCAGCAGTCAGACACATCCACTCCGGGAGACACTCTCAGTGGGTGGGGCTCCGCTAAGACAAATCCCAGGCAAAACCTTGAAGCAGAAAGTGCTTTTTCTTAATTTTTCTTTTTCTTATGATGATGTGGCTGGAGTGACAGCCTAGTGTGGGAAAAGAGGAGCATTTTATGGCTGCAACAAAAGTTTCAAGAAATCATTACTGGACGCCTGTGCAGAGTTCTACAGGGCATTCAGATGGAAAGACAAGGTCCATGTATGGAGGCACTCAAACGCTGGTGGGCACAGCTCCACCTCATCCAAACTAGCTCCAGGGGCAAGGGTGTGACAGGGTCTAAGCAAAGCACTCTACAGAGCATAGCGAGGGTCATTTTGAAGGAGGGGGTGACAGAGGATATGGGGAGTTCAGCACAGAATGCGGGTTTGGAGTCAAGAAGTTCCATGTTCAGATGCAGGCTCTGCTGAGTGTCTTGAACCAATTTATTCAGACTCTCGGTCTCAGGTTCCTGCCTTCAGGATGGTTCTGAAGATGACCCGGTTAGCATGGGGACCGTAGCCGAGGAGTGCCCAGAGTAGGGGAAGGCTCAGTAAAAGCCTGTCCCTGCCCCAGCCCCACCCTCATTCTCTCACTAGGGAGAGGTTTAGTTTCTCTCATTCTTGCTTTGGGAAAGTAGGAAACATTATTGATAATTTTTTCCCTGACACATGTAAACATACAATAGAATATCCTGTCATGTCATTCTGTGCTAAAGGAAGAAGGGATTTTTTTTTCTCCCTCATAATGATCCTGTTCTTCCCCACCACGCTGTATAAAGACTATGAGAATTAACCCAGACAGCCCGGGCCTCTTCGCCCAGTCAGCAAATGTTTACTGAGCATCTCTCTGTTCCAGGCACTGTGCTAAGTTAAAAAAAAAAAAAAAGATGCAAAGGCAAGACTAACAAAGGCAAGACTAAGATGTTTTGAGTCCCCATGGATTGTGGGTTATGGGGTTTGGACCAGACAAGGGGTGTGCAATGTGTGGTAAAGAAATGGGCTCTGGAAAAAAAAGTGGAAATTATGGGTGGTTTTCCTGGCCCTGCCTCTGCCTTGCTGTGGTGACCCTAGCCATGTTCTGCTCTACTCTGAATGCTATCTATCAAATGAGGATCTGGACCAGATGAATGCAAAGCTCCCTCCAGGGACAGAATGTTATAATCCTCATGAGCCAGGATGTATGACTTTGCAAATTCTCAGAATGGTCCAAACTCCACAATCCCAAACTGTTCTTCATACTGGCTGTACCTAAACTATGCATTCTTAATTCTGGTGGAGTGATTTCTATGTTTCCCGCATAAACTGTTTCTGCTTTGCTTGCTAATTTCTCTCTTTCTCTCTCTCTTCTTTTCTCTGCTTCCCTTTCTCTGTATCTCTTGATCCTTCTTTGATCTTCGCCATGGTGGCAGAAAGCGAAATCGATTTGGAGAGTGAACTCAAGTCAGAGCAAGTGACAGAGTGAATGACGGGACCCCACACAGTGCAGACATCCAAGAATGGATCACTCACAAGACCCCCGGGCCCCAGAGCTGCTGCATCCCTCCCCACCTGCCAAGCCTCCATTGTCCATTTCAGTGTGGATTAGAACAGGTGCTGACCAAGGCAACACAGTCCCAGCAGCTGGAACTGCCGTGTGTGAGAACAGATTCTCTGCTTGAGGGTTTGCCCATCATTCAGACATTACTCCAGAAAATAATGAAAAGAATGGAGGATGGGGCGGCACCTATGGCTCAAGGGAGTAGGGCGCCAGCCCCATATACCTGAGGTGGTGGGTTCAAACCTAGCCCCGGCCAAAAAAAAAAAAAAAGAATGGAGAATGTTTTTAATCACCTATAAGTGGAACTGTACTCTTCTCAAATGAAAAATGTCTTTGGTCCTAGAAACACAAACCCTAATAGACAATCATGTGACCTTAGGCCTACCAGGTCAGCCACATGGTCAGCCAAGTGGGCCCTGGCTTCTAATCCATTCCATACTTCAAGTTTAAATGGGCAAGAATGCCTGTGACTTTATGACTTTAAAATTATTACCTGTTACTACTTTCTTAAGAACCATGAGTAGTTAAAACAAATAATAATTCATACAATGTGAACTTTTGAGAATCCGGACATATTCTCATTCACAAAAGTATCTCTTTTATCCCTACCTAAGACAAGGATGAAATTCCCTCATTAGAGTTTCTTTCCCCTCGGGATTATAAGTGCTATGTTTCTTAAACTTCACTGATTAAAAATTTTATAAAGATGGATATTGCATCTTGAAAGTAGTAGTCTTCAGCTCTGGTGCTGTGGGACATCAGCGGGTCCTAAACAGTGACAGAGAAAGGGATAGAATCTCTGGCTTCAGCCTGAACAACATCTGGATACACATGTCAGAGAACTCCAGTATTAAATTGTGATTCCCCTGTCTATTTGGTGGTTAAAAGGCCACTTAATGAGGGCACAATTCTGAGCAGTGTGGAGACAGTGTTAGTTATGGTAGGTTAGAGGTGCCCCTGGAAGAGGAAATGGCTGGCTATAAAGACAAGCATCAGTTGAATGAATATATTTAAGTGCACAAAACATTAATGGACATCATACTTTGTGAGATAGAGAAAATTAATACTTTAAGAGTAATATTTGGGGCGGCACCTGTGGCTCAAGGAGTAGGGTGCTGGCCCCATATGCCAGAGGTGGAGGGTTCAAACCCAGCCCCAGCCAAAAACCACAAAAAAAAAAAAAAGAGTAATATTTGGTATGTACCCAAATAATTTTGATTACCAGGAAACATAAGATACATGCCATCCTAGAGTCATGAATAAAGAGGTCCAGAACAGGGAAGCAACCTTGCCAGAAGAATTAGAAAGGCTTTCAGGAAGAAATAGTATTTGTTGAAGGCCTTGCGGGTGGCCAGAGCACAGTCCTGGGTGTCCCAGGCAGCAAGGATGGCACATGCAAAGCCTGAGAGGGGGAGGCAGCCAGGGGCAGTGGCACACAGAAGAGCTGGTGCTGCTGGAGCATGGGTGTACCAAGGGAAGGGAAGAAGCTGGGGGGGAGGGGGAGGCTGGAGCCCCATCCCTGGGGCCTGAGTCACAGGGTGAGCTGACTACATGTGGCTCTCTAGGAAGTCCCTGGATATAGCAAAGCATCCTGGAGACCGTAAGTCAAGAAAGCTGTGTCTGACGGGAAATGAATGGCAGCAGATGACAGTGGAGATGGAGTGTGGGGTGATAGAGCCCATCCCAGAGAATGATGAGAACATGAAGCTAAGGGACTTGGAAAGGAAAGGGGTAATTCCAGGTTATAGAAGTGGTTAGAGAGAGCTTTAGAGAAAAGGAAGAAACCCTAAAGCAAAAAGGATAGACTAGCTAAGGAAGCGTATCTGGTCTGTGCTGGGTACATAGGGCTGCTCAAAACCATTTGTGAAGACCCTTAGAAATTGCTTCCAAATCCCAGAAAGACATGACATTTTGCCTGTCACTGTAGACCTGGGAAGAAGGAGCACCTCTTCCCTACTCACTATAACCATGCTGACAAGACCTTCTATTTCCCACTATTGTCCCCTTTGTTTTGTTGGGGGGCCAGTTGTATCCGTGTCCAAAGTCACTTCTCTGCAGTAATGTGAAAGCAGGTCCTCCATCCCCCAAATATGTCCCTGCCAGTGCAACCCACATACCAGGATCTCAGTATCCTGACCATTCAAGGTCACCCTGGCAGTCCTCCACTAGGAACTAGGTAGTTAGGTCTTGAGGATACTGCAAGAAAAATTAACTGCTATACCAAAGTGAAGGGAGACAAAAATAATACCAATATCTAGGCACCAGACAATGGTATTTCCTATAAGGTGAGGAGAAAAAAATGTCTGTTTGGAGTCTCCCTGGGAAAATAAATTTAAAACTGCTCATAGTTTTAAATAAAAAAAATCTTATTACTTCTTATTATCATAGTGCTGACCTTCACACATTCACCTCACAAAGTAAAAGAACATCCCTACTTTTCGTTGATCAAAATAAATGAGGCTGTTTTGTTCAGGGGACTAGAGGCCAAGGCAAAACCACTTTTCTTGCTTTCACCTTTCTTCAGGATAAGAGGTGTCTACACTTGCTACCTTAAAATGCCTTTCCGGAGGGATTGCAATCACCTATATTTTATGTTAGGTAACACTCTAGTCCTGCGGTTCTCAACCTGTAGGTCACAACCCCTTTGGGGGTCAAACAACCCTATCACAGGGGTCACTTAAGACCCTCCTGCATATCAGATATTTACATTATTTTTCATAACAGTAGCAAAATTACAGTTATGAAGTAGCAACAAAAATAATTTTATGATTAGGGGTCACCACAACATGAGGAACTGTATTAAAGGGTCACAGCATTAGGAAGGTTCAGAACCACTGCTCTAGTCAATTAAAAAGATGAATTTGGAGTCCTAAATTTAAAATCACAATGTCAAAATATCACTAGGGTTAAACTGCCCTCATGTTTGCCAAGGTGAGCAGACAAAATCCAAGAGGAGGTAGAACTTAGGAAATTATGTCAGGACTTTGGAAATACTCACAGCTGGTGTCCACTGTTGGCCAGCTAATATCTAGGATATGCCACCTAACTAGAAAACAGATCCTTAAGAACTATTAGTCCCATTTATTAAAAGGGCATGGATTTCGAGGTCAGACCTAGTTCTCACTCTGACAGTATCGGCTGTAAGAACTTATGACTAGTTAAGGCTCCTCTTGGGGCTCATCTGTAAAATAAAGAGGAAAGTCCAGATCACCTACCCCAGGGTCCTTTCCAGCTGTGAACTTCTGTGATACCTGCATGATTCTTTGACTTATACCTAAAATTAGAATTTCCTTACAAATAAGTACCATACTTTAAAGGAGGCTCTGGAATAAACACAGAAAATTGGGTCCTTGGTCTCTCATGTGGCCATGGACAGATGCCCAGAATCTCAGGTGACTCATGCTGGACTCAGTCAGTGCTAGCCACTCGCCTCAGATGCCCTCTGCAGAGCAGCCATCTTTGGCCATTTTCTATACTGGAACTACAGCTAGCCCCGGTGTCCAGCCACCAACAGTTGGAGAAAATGGGCAGATGCAGACTAAAAGTTGGTCCACCCCTGGCCTTGCCTCCTGCCTTCTGTGCTCAAGCAAGCTGTCTGCAGAGAGCCAGCAGGGTGGGGCTGTGTACTTATGAGGGAGCAGGGGGTTTTGTTTGGTTGGTTTGGGGGTTTATTTTGTGCCAAGCTCCAGTGTGATCTTACTCAGTCTATGGTTAGACCTAAAAGAATGGAAGGTTTTAGGTTTCTGTCAGCCAAAATGTTCTCACTAAGCCAAAGCCTTCATGCTTGGGCAGAAGAGGCAGAGAGGATTGCACAATAGAACTGGGAGTCAAAGAAAGGGACTGTGATGGGGAAGAGGCTGCGGTCTGTTTAAAGCCCAGCAGACCTGTTCCTTCCCTGGAACTGACACCAGACTGGATGTGTTGACCACACAGTAGTATATAATGGATGACAGAGACCCTGAAAGCAGGGCTACTGGCCGCTGCACAATTCTACATGCGCTGTTCAGATAGACTGTAACACGGCTCCCTGGGAAGTGTACAGTGCACTGCCTGCACATCTGCATGAGACAGATCCAGTAGACGGCCCCAAGAGGAAGAGTTACCTAGAGCTGAGGGGTCTCACGTCTTCTCTATCAGTTGTAGACTGTGGAGCCCCAGCAGGCCTGGAACACGGGCTGGTCATCTTCTCCACAAGGAACAACCTCACCACATACAAATCCGAGGTCACCTACTCCTGCCAGCAGCCCTATTACAAGATGCTCCCCAATATCACAGGTAAGTCCTCATGCTAAACCATCCCACTTCCACCTCACTCTCCGGGCCCCAGGGTCAGGCTGGGGCTGAGACAGGTCTGAAAGGAACACCTTCTTATAAACGTATGAAATCTTCTAACACCACTGCACACATCACCGCCTCATGTGCTTCTCACTGCCCATGAGCTCCCATTATCGTGTCCATTTAGCAACAGAAACTGAGACTCAGGACCACACCCAGGCTTTTTTTCTTTTAACTTTAAAACTAGCATGGATTCTCTGAATGAACATAGATCTTGTTGGAGGGAGGTTGAAGGGATCATACATGGACACAACTTAAAGAAGAAACGAGGGCCTGTAAGAGGTTTGAAATCTCCAAGATAAACTCCTTCATGTTGCCTGAGGCTGAGCTGGGGTTTCCAAAAAATGGCCAGCCTGGCCGCTTCAGTCAGTCTCTGCCTCGGCTCCTGGCTGAGTGTGCCTCTGGCCAGACCAGACCCAGTCACAGCTCTCATCCCCCGACTGCACAGGGCCCAGGTGCCATGGGAGGGTGCTGATGAGATCCGTCTGCCTCACCAGGCAGCCAGCATATCCCTGATTGCGGCTCAAGCTCAGTTGCAGCTGGTCTTCCAGGCCTAGCCTGCACCCTGACAGGGACACCTCTAGATGCCTGAGGGGCTGGGCAGCAGCACACAGGCCACAGGGTGAAGCACCAGCCTTTGGCAGCACAGAGGTTTGGGAGGCACAGGGAGGACAAGCACTCGGAGATGCACGCCCCTCCCTGCCAGTAGCGTCCCTCACCCTCACACACCCACAGGCCCCAGCAGAAAGAAGCTCTGAGGGTGGCGGACAGGCTGTCAGCGCTCCTTCTGTGGCATGCAAATACTAAGAAACCCTAATTTCTCTGAGCCGCCAAGTCCTCACTTTTCAAAGAGGGCATAGTAATACAACTCTAAAACTGTTGTGAGACTCAATGAGCCGGTAGACATGAATGTGCTTATTAAAGCGTTTGCCAAGCAGAGAAGGGAGGGAAGGGCATGTGCACCGCAGAGAACTGTGTGAGCCTAGGTCTTTGTGATTAATGGGGGAAGGTGCCTGCCAGAGGCTGGGCAGCAGCAGGCGGGGAGCGGAGCAGCCCTCAGACAGGCAGGAGTCAGACGGCACAGAGACTTGGACGCCATGCTGGAGAGTGTGGTGTTTATTTTTGAAGACAGCAAGGAGATGCTGGCAATTCCAAGGGACATAGTCAGATTCTCAGTTTAGAAAGATCCTTCAGGTTGTGGAGAGGACAGGAGTGAATGGTATCAGAGAGACCATTTGGAAGACTTCTGCGATGATCTATAGTAGAGGAATTAAAGATCTAGATCTATTTTCCATGTTGTATAAATCAACCATTTTCTCTCTCTTCTACTTTTTTTTTACTTGCCCAGGTATATATTCCTGTTCTGCCCAAGGGATCTGGATGAACAAAGTCCTGGAGAAAAGTCTGCCTACCTGCCTTCCAGGTACCTTACTCTCCAACTCCTAAACCCCAAAGTCTCCCACCTAAGGTCCTAGGGCCCCGGGTGCCCTATGGTTAGCAATGGGAAGATGGCGAGTGGGGAGGAGCTGACACCTGGTTGTTTTTAAGAGACATCTTCAAAGGCTGAAGATCAGAGAAGCCCAGTTTCACACCTTTTCGAACCAACCAGCCTCTATATTCCTCCCGCTTTATCTAGCCAAAAGCCCTTCTGTCTTCTCTGCCAAGTTCTGCTCCTTTCCCACTAGGTTTCTCATTGCACACGGCTTATGTGTGCACCTGCTTCTGTGCCAGGGAAAGGGAGACAGTGGGCACCCTGGTCTCAAGCACTCGCCATGCTATCAAATCACTAATGACTGTAGGACAAGTAAGAGGTTCTTCCAAAGAGCAATGTATTCATCTTTCTGATTGCTGCCTTCCCCCTGGTTTACCCACCGACCCCATTTTAAAACAGGAAGAAAGTTTTATGGTAACAGGAATTGTCACTGTGCACAGAGATTCTGGAGGTATTTGCTTGAGCATTTAAAGCATGAATGATTTGCATTGCAATCATAGTGCACACATTCAAATCAACTTAAAAAATTATAGCCCCCAAATGCACACTGTAAGGGCAAACAAATAATCCATAAAACATGAAATGTGATATTCACAGCACAGTTATTTATACTTCAAAAAAAGAAAAAGAGCAGTAATGCAATGATACAAGCACTCAAGACAGATCTGAGGAACGGTGGCAAGTAAAGTGTCCGTCCTGATCCATCTGCACGTTTGCACCCACAGCAGGAGCTTGGCGTTATGCTTGGGCACTGGATGACATTTGTATTTTACAGAATTAGAGTGTTGGGTAAACTGAGATAGAGCATGATATGTGTATTAGTGTACGCTTCGGTAACCCTTTCTACTCACTCAGTAGGCTTCTAGATGTTAGATTAGAACATTGGAACTAAAATGGAAAGTCGATGGTATCCTCTACCATTAACACTTACAAAGCAAAGACTATGCCAGCGTTTAGGAGTCCGTTTTGGGCTATTGTAAGTGCTACTGAATCCCAGAGAAGGAAATGATTGTGCCTGGTTGTCCAGGAGTGCAGGGATAAGAACTGACTAGAACAGCCTCACATACAAGTTTCTGTGCCTAAGAAGGACCTTGTAAGGAGGTGGAAGAAGGGAAAGTCCACCTCACCCACATCTGCTGACGCCACTCATCTCAGCTGGGCTGGCCAGGAGCATCCCCACGGACTCTAGGCAGGGAAGCCTGGAAGAGGAGGGCAATAGTGGAGTTGTGGCAGACGGCAGGATCAAATCCTCATTTTGCTAACGGTCTATGTGAGCTAAAGAAAAGTAGAGGTGGATTCCATTCTGCAAAGTCATGTTGCAACCTTCAGAAGGAGAAGATACACTGAGCTGAGAGTTAGGGGTTTCCTAACCATGATCTTTGTAAGTAGTTGTACCTCCCCAGGTCAGGGATTCCATACTTCAGAAGGGAGAGACCTATGGCCTCCCATCTTAATGGTCATCCCCCTCTAAATGGTCCCACTTCTGGCTCTACCTCTAAATGCAATCCCCCCATTCATGCTCAGGAGAACCATGTTCTATTATTGAACCAGGTCATAAGTATCTGTACCTCTCCTCTTAAAACCCTGAGATTGAATGCATGCCAGGATGAAGAAAGCCATTTCATAGGGCATCATAAAGCTTACCCTTGCATGGGGCCTGCTAAGCAAGTATTATTTGCCCCCTTATTTTATAAATTGGAAAACTGAGGATCAAAATGGTGTAATGATTTGTCCAAGGCTACCCCAGAGAGTTAGGGACTGAGCCGAAAGGCAAACTAAAGACTTTTGTTGTCAACATATGCCATGCTTAGCTATTTTTGAATCTCGTGTTGTCCTACGCCATTCTCATGGACCCAGGATCCTAGGTTATCACATCTTTATGTTAGGGCCCTCCTTCGTTACTCATCATCTTCTAGAGCCCCAATTCTTGCTTCAGCACACCCAAAGCTAACATTTCAAGAAAACGCCTTTGTCCCAAGAATGACTGGGTAGGGAATGGCAGTGGCCAGTAAGAATGACCCCACTTCAACCAGCTCTCCAATAGGCTTGTTGAATCATTCAGCCTCTTGAAAGAACAAAAGAACATCAAGGAGAAAAATAGATTTTAGTGGAGAAATAAAGCTAGCTTCAGGAGAAACGGGTCCCACTTCTGGCTCTACCACTAAGAATTTCGAGTAAGATACTTGCCTTCTCTGAACTTCCATTTTGCTCTCTACAAATTAACATGTTCTCCAAGGTTTCTCTGGCTCTGATCTCCTGTGACCTCAGGTGTGCCATCAGCACCTTGGTTGGAGAAAGGCAGCAATCAGCACTGGCTTTGTTATGACCATGGACTGAGGCACAGATGTGTCCCTCACCAGATGAGGGCCTTGCAGCACCACATGAGCTGTTAGGTAGGGCTGGCCATGGACCCACCTGGAGATATCACCTCCTAGGCAGCTGCTCATAATCGGGATACTGGCCTTCAACTTTGAAAGGCCAGGCCAGAGATTACAAAGGCCAATTTACATCCAGCCTGCATGAAAGACAGATTGCCCCAAGATCATACAAGAAGCATTTGATATCGGCAAAAAGAGGATCTGAAAAGCATTAGGTTGCCAAAACTGCCTGCTTAAAGATAACAAGGAAACACAAATGTTTTATGGTCTCTAAAGGATTGCTGAAAGTGCCCAGACCAAGCAGTGTAGCCTGGCCATTTGCAACCAGCAGGAGGCCCACATTCACAGCAGGCTTATACCCCCGATCCAAGCACCCTACCTAGGAAGGACCCATGTGAGCTCGTTCTGAGCCCGCAGGGGCTGGTACTGAAGACCCTCGGCTCATGGGCCAGAGGCATTTGGCAGCAGGAAGCTGGTGGTGCATGTGCATGCTGGGGCGCAGCTCGGTGGAATGAAGTTTGCTCAGACCTTTCTCCTCCCCCTGAAGGTACTACAGGGCTCCTGGGTGCAATGATGGCTGGCCCAGATCAGGGCTCATACATCATTGCTCATAGATTATGCCACCTTTCCCAACCTTGGTGCCCTGGGCCTGAATCCATGGGCATTGACTGGCAGCCTGAGCCCTTTAGGACAGAGAAGAAAAGTCTGAGGACCCGTGACCATGATCTTACTAAGTAATGACACAGTGGGATAAAGGACAAACCAGCTGTCTTAGAAACTGGTTAAGCCCCTGCCCTTCAATTTGATAGCCATGTCACCTTAGGCTAATCCCTGAACCTTTGGAGAGTTTTGCTCACCTATAAATGGCAGTGGTCAGGGCAAATGAAATAAAAATTAAAGGTATTTGGAATAAGGAAGATCCTTGGAGATCACCTTGACTAACTGCCTCACTTGGCAGATCAAAAATTGAAATCCGGAGAGGGAAATTTATTTATTTTTTATTTTATTTTATTTTATTTTATTTTATTTTATTTTTGAGACAGAGCCTCAAGCTGTCCCCCTGGGCAGAGTGCCGTGGCACTACAGCTCACAGCAACCTCCAACTCCTGGGCTCAAGCGAGTCTCCTGCCTCCGCCTCCCAAGTAGCTGGGACCACA